TTATTTCATTCATTCTTGTAGATAAAATCAGTCACAATATTCATTATCAGTATAGGGGTTGTGGAGGTTATTAAGTTTTTGATTGAGATCATGAACCGATTGATGTTAGACCACCGTTGAAAACCTGGAAGCACTGGACAGCCGTCTCATCCTGTTGTGAGACTCCTCAGCAGTGCACATCTACGATCCCGCTCGCCGGATTCGAACCCAGGGCCTTAAGCCTCACGCGCGAACGCTTAACCTACTGGACTACTGAGCCGGCATCCAACAGCCGTCCAGTGCTTCCAGGTTTCCAAAGGTGATCTAACACCAATCCGTCCATGATCTCAATCAAAAACAATATACATTGTTGATCAGATCATAGTTTCACGTTAGTGCCGATGGGAAAAATATCCTTCTAATCGACATATATTTATAATCTTAAATTTGTAGTTCTAATTTTTTCTACTTCAAAAATCAAACCAGTTGGGAGATATAAAGAAGTGAACAATGACAGGTTTAAGGTCAACAAGAACTACTCAACATTGAGGTCTACAGGACAATTTGTGAACAACATATGGAGAAATTCAAACACTTCACTTCTACTTGAAGTTTGTGCTGATGATGTCGTTCAGCAGAACGATGAACGATCCCGACCAAATCATTCAGCTCAAAGAACAAAATTTCATCAAGAACTTCAAGAGTCATTTTTGATGATGTAATACTCACGTCTGAGATCACAATGAATGTTTACATTGATTATCGACGAATAAATCTGCTTACAAAGATAAGTATAATTACAGTCTAAATCATAGAAAAGTTCCAAAATATTCTTTGGATAAGTCACTGAGGACCCAAATTTCGATTGAATAGAAATTCTTTGAAACATTTAGAAGAATTACAGATCATGTGTCATGCTTCTGATTGAATAAATATCATCTTACTACTATATTTATATACTTTCAGAACTTTCTAGATGACCAACGTCATGTTATTGAGTGTGAACACGGATGATTCACTGTGCTTATTCTAACCATGAAGCAAATCCTTTTTTGTAATTCATACCTTTCCTCTTATGTTTAAGTTGTTGTGTTGGGTTATTAGAAGTTGCTAGAAAATAGGATCGAACATCCACTCAGTAAAATTATCAGTAATAAATTGATGAATTTGTTTTGGCATCTCTTTGATGATTAGATATACTTCATGTTCTTTTCGGTTATGCTTAGTCTATTAATTACAGTCTCCCATATTCACAGCTACTTTTGGCTAAATCTTGTACAAATGTTATTTTCGCTTTTATGGTATATAAACCCAGTATGTTTGAAATACATGATTCATGTCGTGAAGGCTGAGATTTGTGTTGTGGATTCAACAGGTAGGCGGGGCTAATCAGGAAGAAGGATCGATAAAGATTCTAAACTGTTCGTAGTGGTTTTGTACGTCATTGATCCGGTCGATAAGTCACTGTTCTCTAATCGGCGGTATCATCACATTATACACTGATAAGGGCACAAACCTACAAATTATAACAATAAAGCCTAATCTAACTCATAAGCATAGATTTGAAGTAACGAAAACAGGGATAGGCATTAAATGTCTAAGAAGAATGGAGCTACCATGTAATTCATCAATAAAATGTAAATAGAAGATCATTAACAGTGACATAATAGGTAATTATAAACAACATCATTGTATTTTCATTCAACGATATTCATTTAAGTCAATACATGATATAGTTAAAAGATTATTTACTGCCACTGATGACTACCTTTTCACTTACAATATATCTTAAATCCTTACTTACTTACGCTTATCACCTCCTGTGAAGGAACATAGGTCGCTCACCACCATTCTACATCCAACTCTGTCCTTACCAGTTATTTCCAGTCCTCTCCACTTCTTATTCATCCTTTTCATTTCTGTTTCAATTCCTAACGTAGTGTGTTCTTCGGCCTTCTGCTTTTCCGTTTTTCTTCACGATTTCAAGTTAGCGCTTACTTCCTGATACAATTTGGTGATTTCCACAATGTATATCCCATCCATTTCCATCGTCTTTTCTTAATTTCCTTTTCAACCGGAAGTTGATTTGTCCTCTCTCATAGTAGGTTATCACTGATGGTATGTGGCTAACGCATATTCAATATCTTGTATCTTCTTGATGATCGTAGTCATAGTTCTCTACATTTCAGCTCCGTACAGTAGAACTGTTTTGATATTCGTATTGGAGATTGTGACATTGATATTGGTTGAGAGACAATTGTTTTGAATTGCATATGTTCTTCAACTATAGAAATGCTGTGATTGTTTTAACAATCCTCATCTTGAGGTTTTGCATCTCTTCAATCCATCAGTTATTAATTTGTACCCGAATTCCAAGAGCTAATGTCAAAATGAGTTTATAACGATCACAATGATAGTATTATTGAATAGTTATCATGAAGATTGATTTAATTGGAAGATATTAATAGTCAAAGATTGAGTTCTATTTATATTCAATTGAGAACCCTTTTTTTATCCCCAAAATGAGTACCCATACATCCATCCAAACTCATCTACACATTCAAAATGAATGTACAAATCATCTGGTAAATAACAAGATTATTGAAGAAATAATGAATGTTCTACTTCCTTTTGTTTTAGATTAACATATTTGAATACAAAGTACACAGTGATAAGCTACAATCTAGACTTAAAAGTGGGGAATTGTTGTCGTTATTGTTGACAGATTGATTTTCGTTTCTATTAAGTAATCTTATTGGAATTCTGTTTAATTGGCACATTTATGTCATTGTATTGTGAATTCAATTAAACATTTAGTTCAATAGAGCTAATAGTCAATATAACATACTAATGAATAAGAAATTGTGATGAATTATGGTTGACGTTTGCTTTTAGAGAGTTAATTTTCTACGAGTTAAGGTTACTAATCCAATGCCCAAGCCCCCCTCTTTCGTATTGAAGATTGTGACATTGATATTGGTTCTCTTTTTTATATTTGAGGATGTTGCTTTTTCCCTTGTGGATGTTGAAGCCTATTGAGCCAGATATTGCTGCCACACTGTTTGGCTTGATATTCATTTGTTCATGTGTTTGAGATATAAGATTCAGTTTATCTGTTGTCTAGTTACATCTAACCTGTTCATTTTGTTTCATGCTACCCGTTAGATGTTGCGGTCTTCATATTCTAGTCGACCACCAGAAGAAAGAATAAGCAGATTTGCCTCACTCCGATCCTTACTAGGAATGAGTCTGTCAGCTGTCCTTCATGCACGACTTCGTACTATAGTCTGTCGTATGAATCCCGGATGAGATTAACAATTTTCTCTGTTAACCATATTGCCAAAGAAGTTTCCATAATTTTCTCCTTTCCACACTGTCAAACGCATTCTCAATGTCAAGGAAGTTGATGTAAATGAACTAGTTCCATTCAAATGATTGTTCAACGACGATACACTTGTAACTCTTTTAGGGCTACTGCTGGTGCCAATTCTGGGTAAAGGAGGAGGGTTGAGAATGTGTTCAGCAACTCTATCCCGTAAAAAACAACTTTGCTAAAAAAACGCTAACCAGAATATAAAATATCATTAGCAGCTGAAATAATGTAGGATGGATTCTATGACGAGATGATTGACTGATGAACATTAGGAATTCTCAAACAAACTCATTTGTCAATGAGAAGGTAATTTGACCAAACATTGTATTCATACAATACTTTAATGGATGGAATAATATCTTTTTATCTAATGGATTATTCACAGTTGAATATAAGGAAAGTTTTGATGAAAGATCACTTTCATAAGATCGACCGTATTGTATCTAAGATCCATCACAAGCAATAAAGTTAAGATTTTAACATAGAAAGGATAATCAATAAAATTTGTAAACCACTAGAAAGATTATTATTTGTAAAATTTAAATAATTTCAACGTCTTGTCCATCAAATTTGTCTGAACTTCTTCAGGGTAAAAATCAAAATCAAGATTATCAAAGAATATATATATATATATATATATATATATATATATATATATATATATAGCATTATGCAATGAGGTGGCTGTCATGACTCAATGACTAAGTGGACAACGCGTTTGTATTCCAAGTGAATGGTACTGGATTCAAGTACCACAGTGAACATCAACTCTGGAATACAGGTACTTTCAGGTTATGTGACCTAAATAGGATGAAACACTCGTCCTGGATTTCACTGCTAGCTACCATCCATCTTTGCTTATAAATATAAGTTGACCGTTATTCCATAGTTGTAGTAAACAGCCAGACTAATAATAATAATAATAATAATAATAATAATAATAATAATAAACTTGGAAGTACTGGTTGGCCATTTCGTCCCAGCATGGGACTCCTCAGCAGTGTGCATCCACGATCCCGCTCCCCGCGAGATTCGAACCCAGGATCCATCAGTCTCGTGACATGCACCTAACCAACTAGACCACTGAGCCAGCTTGTATCCAATAGTATTAATGTCTAACTTTAACTAATCCACTAAGTTGCACCACCGTACACCATTGTCATCAGTGAGTTACTATCTCACAACAGACCTGTTTGAACTCCACTGGTAACGGCTTCTCACTAGAACTCCAGGAGTATCTCCCAAAGTCAATCACTAGTGAGCAGGTGATTATTATCAGAATGGGTTTTGTGGAGATTACTACAATTTCCACAATCCCTCCTTTCTGATAAAGTCATTTTTTTAATCATTGGGTTACTCCTCCAATTTTATTATAATCTGACAAGTAAATCATTTGTCATTTATTAATCTTATCTCTTCATATATCTATCTATGTATGTATTACGTAACAACAATAATGACAATATGTCATAAGTATTATGTCGTAATTGAATCAATGATATTGGCTTTACATAAAGTATAAATAACATAATACACATTACAATCTATTTGTATACACCTATTTACATGTTATTACAATGAATAACAATCATAGTCTTAAATGTATTAACATTATGACTATTTTGCTTTTCTTTATTATCATTCTAAGTCAATGTAAAAAATTAAAATTACCTAAAGAAGTACGTGAAGTATTTCAATTACATAAATATTATCGTAATTCAATACGTTTTTGTCAAATGCCAAATCAACCTCCAGCAAAACGTATGTCAAAATTAGTAAGTTGTACATTTGTTGGTGTTGGTGTTGTTGTCTAGATGATGTCTTTTTGTTCGGTTCAATGATCTAGAGCTTAAGCATTTACGTGTAAGACTGAAGGTCTTGGGTTCGGATCCCGCTGAACGGGATCGTGGATGAGCACTGAATAGGAATTCAGTGCTGGGACGAAACGGATGTCTTTTGTTTGACTCAGTGATCTAGAGGTTAGGCATTTGTGTGCAAGACTGAAGGTCTTGGGTTCGAGTCTCAAGGGGCGAGCTCGTGAACGTGCACTGATGAGGAGTTTAATGCTGAGACGAAACGGCTGTCTTTTGTTTGGCTCAGTGGTTTAGAACTTAGACTTTGGTGTACAAGACTAAAGGTTCTGAGTTCGAGTCTCGTGGGACGGGATCGTGGATGCATACTGATTAGGAATTCAATGCTGTGACCCATGCTTCCAGGTTTTCCTAAGTGGTCTAGCTTCAACTGACTCATGAATTCAACTATTAGAGTATTTTAAGAGATTCTATATTTATTATTTAAATATTGATTGGATTCATTTAAAATCTAAAGTAATTCAAATGGTGATTTCATTATACATTGATATAAACTGAAAAATGATTGGCTTTTAGTAAGTACATGGTATCTGCTGCCTTAAATTAGTGGATATATCTATGTATCTTTTTATGACTCAATAGAGTGATATTGACTGGAAAGTTTATTCCTTTAAGTTCTACCATTCCAAGTAGAACAGTTAGAGTGAGAGAGAGAAACAAGGTTTAGAACCAACCAGGATATAAAGCGATATTACCTTACCATAATGTAAGCAGAAGCTGAAAAAATGTAGACTATCAACATATCAAACTTAGTTTTATCCCATTTATTTCCGTCCATTGAACTTCAACATCATGTTCAAAGGTTGTCATGACCACGTCCAGCTGAGTTTACATTTCAGAACCATCAAAATGAAGTATTCCTATATGGTTCTGCTAACCAGTAGATGAAACTTACCCTCTACTCTTCAATAACACTTAATATCACCTTAACTTACTCATCAACAGCTGAAGACCTTTCTGATTTGATGAAATATTTCATTAAAGTAGTGTTTTAATCATGAAGAATTAATTATGAAGAAATATTTCATAACTTGTATTCTTAATGTGTAATGGAAAACCTGGAAGTACTGGACGGCCATCTCGTCCTAGTATGAGACTCTTCAGCAGTGCGCATCCACGATCTCGTGCGTCAGACTTGAACTGAGGACCTACAGTCTTGTGCACTAACACTTGACCTCGAAACCACAGAGCCGGTATCTAACGGTGTTCATGTATAACTCCAACCAATCCATAATATTGCTCCACCGTTCACCATTATCTTCAGTCAGTAACTGCTTCACATTAGACACGATTGAACTCCATTGATCACGGCTTTTCACTAGAAGTTCAGGAAACTTATCTTAAATTATTGTTTGATATTTCGTGAAACTGCTTACAAATAGTGTGATCTTCCCTAAGTATAAACTTTCAAGATCATGAGTTAAGTAAACATTTTCATTTCATATTGTATCATTTAGCGAGACAATAAGATTATGAGAGAAGTGAACATATCTATTATCCGATACATATCGAACATCATTATAAGTCTATTCAAATAATCATAACAATCTTCTCAATCATAACTGTCTAATTGGTACTTTGTATTGATTGTCATTATCAATATTCTCCCTTTGTCTTACTTTACAGAAATGGAATATATATTTAGCAGAAAAAGCTCAACTTTCCGCTAGTCGATGTGATTACTCTTATGATAGTCCAAGTGATATGAATTTTGATGAATTTGGTACAGTAGCACAAAATATTGCTGATAGTCCAACAATTGAAAAGTAAGTTTCCTTTATTGATTAGTTGAGGGTAATTGGGAGGTAATGCCAAAAATAAATTTCGTACTCATTAACATTCACAATCAAAACAAAAAAGAAATCTTGAAGGAAATAACTCTCTGATGAATGTGAACCTTAGTCACATAGTTTCATGATCTGAGACGTTGTTATTGATCTATTATTGGTACGTTTAGGTTCCTGTTGAACTGAATTATCAATACTGATTAATCATGTTCTGTTGGTCAATTAACATGAAACCTATGTGGAACAGGATTTCTTACGTTAAAACAAAGTCATTACGATATTAAGTTATGTAAACTAGTCCCCGATTCTCAACTTGATCTTTTATTTTGTTTTTAGAGCAGTAGCCAGTTGGTTTGTTGAATACAAGAGCTATTCTTTTAACGATAACAAATGCAATGATACATGTATGCAGTATAAACAGGTAAGTGTTGATAATAAATAGAATTGTCATTTAATTTATATATTATTTGAAATATTTTGTTGCGAGATGGGATTGTGGATGAACACTGTTGAGGAGTCCCATACTAAGACGAAACGGCTGTCCAGTGCTTCGAGGTTTTCCTAATAGTGGTCTAACTTCTATTGATTCATGAATTCAACTATTAAATTATTTTCTAATTGTTCAATTCTTCATTATTATCAATTGAAACTGTTTGATTATCAAGATGATTGAACTACACTAGTTATGATTCATCAATAACATTTCAAGTAACCATCTTAAATAGAGATATTATTAGCCTAGACAGTATGGTGTAATTAGGTTTATCTGAAGTTGATAGAGTTTTGTTCTCTGAGTTGGATGGTTTGATCGTGGAGCTTTCATCGTTCTTCTGAACAACATCATCAGCACAAACTGCAGATAGAAGTCTTTGATTAACACTAGTTGAATTATTCTTGAAAATCAGGTAGGTAGTAGCATCTTATATTGGTCTAGATTGAAACTATTCATTAGTATACACCAATGAACTTATAATAGACTGAACTCAGGACCTTTTACATGGTGATGAGCTAAAGAACCTTTAGATTGCTAACACTATGTCCAAAGGTCTAAACTTACACATATGGAAGTACCGAGGATTCGCGCCCGATTCGATGCATAAATATAGGTATCCTATATTATATACACAGTTGATTATCATTGGCTATCAGATAATAATAACCGTAATGATCATGAATGTACGCTTGAGTGAATACGGACGTATATGAGAAGCATATAACTTGATTAAATGGCGAGATTATAATTCATGTACGAACCAATCAGATATAAGATTACGCGTCTTGGATTTTGACACGAAATCTATTTGACCAAATAACGTTTTGGCATTACAGATGATGTCAGTTCGTGATGAAAACTCTAAATCTAGTTCTTATTTCCTGAATTTCTAGTGAGAATTAGTGACCATTGGAGTTCAACCAAGGCTGTTGTGAAATAGTAACTCACTGAAGACAATGATGGACGGTGGCAAAATTTGATGGATTAGTTAGTTATACATTTACACCGTCGGATGCTGACCGGCTCAATGATCTAGAGGTTAAGCGCTCGTGCGCGAGACCATTAGGTCTTGGGTTCGAGTTCCACGGGGTGAGATCGTGGATACGAACTGCTGAGAAGTTCCATACTAGGACAGGACGACCATTCAATGCTTTCACGTTTTCCATGGTTATTTAGCTTCAACCCCTTCTGATAATTTATGATTATATTTATTGTTCAGTAGATATTTATATCAAAGTGTTAAATACATTTTATTTTACAATTATAGATAGTAAATGGTGAAGAGACTGAAATTGGTTGTGGTGTACAAAAATGTGATAAAAGATTTTTAGTAGTGTGCAATTATTCACCAGCGTAAGTTATAAGTAGTAATAAGTAGTATCTTCTTTACATAATTCTTTTTCTTTATTTTTACAATTTGTTAATAGTATATCCAGTAGAAATAAGCTTTGATTGGTTAGAGAACATGACTAGATATATGTAATGCATAAGGATTACCTCAAACTGTGGGATTAAAATTGTCTTATATCATTCTCTTTGTACTATATCCTTATACACAATCAATCTTTTATATATTACTACCATTAGGAGAAACAAGCGTAAGTAATTAAGTCAGTAAGTAACCAGTGTAGTGACCACTTACATGAGCTTGATGTTTATCCTTTTGTGTTAATGAGTTGGGTCAACTTGGACTAATGCGTACATATGCCTGGTCGTACGTTGTAGCTAACTTATTAAATGCATAAGGATATCTATTGTCACCGACGAGACTATAATTTATGGACGACCTTTGAATGAATCTTAAGTTACATTGGGAAATATTAGCCTATCAGAAAACAGTTAGCATAAAGTAAAAATATATTATACAAAATCAAAGAGTTAAAATGGATACACTTCTTTTATATGGTTTACATGGGTATGATACTTACTTACTTACGCCTGTTACTCCACGCGAAGGAACATGGGCCACTCATCAGCGTTCTCCATTCAACCCTGTCCTAGGCAATCCTTTACAGCTCATTCCAGTCATTATTCATCCTTTTCAGATCTGCTTCCGATTCTCGACGCAGTGTATTTTTCGGCCTTCCTCTTTTCCTCTTCCCTTTAGGATTAAAAGTTAGGTCTTGCCTCGTGATGCAGTTTGATGATTTACGTAATCTATGTCCTATCCATTTCCATCGTATTTTTCTACTTTCTTCTTCAGCTGGAAGCTGGTTTGTTCTTTTTCAGTAGACTGTTGTTGATGGTATCTATCCAATGAATGTCGTGTATCTTGTGTAGACAACTATTTATAAATGGTTGTACCTTCTTGATGATGGTTGTAGTTTCAACTCCGTTCAGTAGAACTGCCTTGACGTTTGAATTGGAGATTCTCAATTTGATATTGGTTGATAGATAGTTGTTTTGAGTTCCATATGTTCTTCAGTTGTATGAATGCGATCCTTGCTTTGCCAATCCTCGCCTTAACGTCTGCATCGGATCCTGCACGTTAGTCGATTATTCTTCTCAGGTACGTGAAGGATAATTCGCCTGTCAGGGTTTCGCTATCAAGAGTGATTGGATTGCTGCTCTCCGTGTTGTATTTGAGGACCTTGGTAGTGTGCACTCCGGTTGTGGACAACGACATAATGCACATATAATTGGTATTAATGTCGTTGCCTGTCAGTTTCTGACCTTTTAGAAGTGAACCTTTTTGGTTGGCCTGTCGTAAATTGTAAGGACCTGTGAGTTTCATTTATGGAAGGGCTACTTACTCAGTCTCTTTAAGTACTATTTCCTCTGTTAAATTTTCGCTTCCTGACTACTATTTCGTCTATTTCAACGATTCTCTCAAACCCTCCAAACGACTCGTGTAAACTTGTCATTTTTATTGCACATATAACTCTACAATACTCATAACACTGAGTAGCCGAAGCTTCACTAAAGTTTCCAAATGTTATAGCCAGTCTTACGGGTGCTTTTACTATCCGATTCGCAATAATTATCATGATTTGCTTCAGTCTCGGGATCAACCGAAAAATGTTCCTGTTCTAGCAGACTTATTCAAAAGGCAATCTCATCACGGTAGACTGCATATGGTACAACATTCATTTGAACATTGCAGTCAGAAATAAAGGAAATTCTCAGCAATCTCACTTGTTTTAACTGCTCAATTACCACATCTTCTCTAAAATCCTCTGTAAACCAATCGTACATGAGCATCAGGTACTGAACTCGGCGCCGTGACCATTAAATCCCTCATTGAATAACTTGATCCAGTTGAAAAGTGTTATTTTCTTACTTACTTACTAACACCTGTTACTTCTAATAGAGTATAGGCCGCCGACCACCATTCTCCAGATACTCACTCTGTCCTGGGCCTTCTTTTCTAGTCCCATCCGATTCTCGTTCATTTTTCTCATGTTTATTTCCGTTACCCAGTGTAATGTGTTCTTTGGTCTTCCTCTTTTCTTTTGGCCTTTAGGATTCCATGTGAGGGCTTGTCTTGTGACGCAATTGAGTGGTTTCCTCAATATGTGTCCTATCCGCTTCCAGAGCCTCTTCCTGATTTCTTCCTACACTGGGATCTGGTTTGTTCCCTCCTACTTTAGGTTGTTGCTGATAGTGTTTGGTCAACGGATATGAAGTATTTTGCGTAGACGATTGTTAATAAACATTTGTATCTTCTGAATGATGGCTTTCGTAGTTCTCCAAGTTTCCGCCCCATACAGTAGAACTGTCTTGACATTTCTATTGAAAATTCTGACCTTGGTGTTGGTTGACAGTTGCTTTGAGTTCTAGATGTCCTCCAGTTGTAAATATGATGCTCTTGCTTTACTGATCCGCGCTTTCACATCTGCATCAGATTCACCGTGTTCATCAATGATGCTGCCCAGATATGTAAAGGTTTTTATATCTTCCTAATCTCCTCCGTCAGTTGTGACTGGATTAGTGCATGTTGTATTGTATCAAAGAATCTTGCTTTTCCCTTTGTGTTTATTGAGACCCACTGCTGCTGAGGCTGGTGCTACACTGGTCGTCTTCTCCTGCATTTGTTGTTGCGTTTGCGATAGATGAGCCAGATCATCTGTGAAGTCTAGATCGTCCAACTGCATCCTAGATGTCCACTGTATCCCGTGCTTCCCTTCAGATGTTGACGTCTTCATGATCCAGTCGATCACCAGGAGGAAGAGAAAGAGTGAGATTAAGCAACCTTCTTCAATTCTATCTCTACCTAAATAATCCATTAAAAATTTATACGTTTTCCAAGAGTATTTCTTGGTTTTCGAACAAATAACACTTGAACAGTTTATCAACAGAGAGGTTGTGCATGTTATTGAGATCATGAATTAACAAAAACTAGACAACCATTTAAGAGCTCTTTTCTTCAAAGTTAAGTTTGTACAGCACTGGATCTTGTATCAGTGATCTAGGGTTTAGGCGTTCACGACTAATTCCGGAGTTATTGCCATTATTACACACTTCTGTGGAGTCCTGTCTTCCTCTCATCTTTCATAGTTGTCCTTTATGTATATATGTCTATGCATATTAAAATAGCTGACATGTTGTTTCACTATTCAATATTTATAGAGCTGAAGAAGATAGACAACCGTATGAAAAAGGCACTCAAGAGAATTGCGATGATGTCGATGATGCAGAATACTAAGTTTGATTTAGCTTAATAAAAACTATGGATAAATGAGTGAAGTATTTGTATGAATATGCAGCAATATAGATTTCAAAAATAATAAACAATTTAATAAATTATTATGTAACTTTTTATTACTATTCACATTTACAGTACTAAGTTATCAAAAAAGAACAACTCATAAGTGACAGTATTGTCGTGTGGGACCGATCAGTCCAGGGTTCGAATTCCACGTACGAGATCGTGGATGTGCACTGATGAGGAGTCCCATGGTAGGATGAAACGGCCGTTCAATGCTTTCAGGTTTTCAATTGACTCAAGAATTCAACTAATAAATTATTATATTATCCACAAAACCCCTCTCTGACCTTCGGTTTTCATATTGGCGTCTTAAGGTTCTACCAGTAAGGCTGACCTTGAATTTAAGGCTGTGATTATCTTCGACTCTATTGGTCTAGAACGCATGCCTTTTTTTTCAGTTTACTCTTTAGTCTGATAACAGCGCACAGCAAGCAGTAGCTCAGTAATATAACCGAAATCAATCAACTAATATAATAATATGAAATTAATTACCAGATCGCACGTCAATTTATTCCCCGTGAACGAGGGATTCCTAATAAGTTCAAGTCATAAGCTTGTGCTGATTATGTCCCTGCCCTTTGTACACAGCGCCCGTTGCTACTACCGGTTGAATGGTTTAGTGAGGTCTTTGCATTGGTGTCGTTGAAGTGGCTTCGCCACTCGACTGATGCTGTGAAGATGACCTAATGTGACTAGTTAGAAGTTAAAGGGCTCGGATTATTCCGTTGTTAGTATGCTTGACTGAGGTATGATCAGTTTTGGTTGTCTTATTTGTATCCTGTGCGGATTGTTTCAATATAGGTATTATGAAACAAGTTAATATAGAATAAATGGAATGTGGCTAGCAATGAAATCCAGGATTTGATTTCAAAACCCTTGCACAAGTAAGTGAAGATCTCGACTCAAAGCCTAAGTGGATAACATAACGGAATCTGGAGCAAGTGGTACCTGGTTCGAGTCCTCGAGTGAGCATGAACTCGAATACAGATTTATCTTAGTTTCTAGTAGGGTGAAATGCGCGTTCTTACTTCTACTATCAGCTACATGCCGTCTATTCTAGATCAATGTTGTACTGTTTACGTTTATTGATCACTAAGCAATAATCAATCCCAAGTTTGTTTAGCCCTTTGATGCTGTTCAAATTTTATCTATCAAGTTGAAATGTAGATTTGGCTTAAGTTACTTGATATGACATGCAATAGATTGTAATGTTAGGTTTCTAGATATAGTCAACAGGAATCCCTCTCCTGGACCTATGTTTTGTGCTAGTAAGTACTCATTAGCAAAGCATACCCTCAGTGTTGAAGAAATTGATGAGATTTGAACCCGCATCACCAAATGTCACGATCTGGGTTGTCACCACATAGTGTAATATAGAAAAAGTGTTATAAAGAATATGATGATCCCATTGAAATCACGAATCGATTCAAATTATACAACCACTAAAAGCGTGGAAGATCTGGATGACGGTTTCGTCCCAGTTCGGGACTTCTCAGCAATGCACACCACACAACTGGGAATCAGGTTCAGGATCTAAGTTGAGATTGAGAACCTATTCAAGATAAAATAGCCATCTAGTGCTTTCGAATTTTCGACAGTTGTTAAAATGGTTAGTTCGCGATTCTAATTAAAATCAACAATCTCTACAGCACTATATTGAAAATGTAAGGATCGATAAGTTGATCTAAACTCTCTGAACTTGTTTCAAATAAAGTGGGATTCATATCACAACACAAAATTCGGGTTCCATATTCATAATTGACAATGCTCCGACGAATATTAGCAGATCGTAACTCATCGTATTTCTTAATCTCTACGCTTTTCAATAGAAAATTGCCTGCTAAGATCTATACTTCACCACCTACTAAACACAAATAATAACGTGGATTCAGCGAATTCTTCAGAGTTGTCGATAAACAGTCCACTTTTACACTATTAAAATTCTCAAAATTCATAGCGATCATAAACCTTATACTTGACTTTTGTACTTGTTATAACACTCGGTTTTCCACGTGTACACGAATGGGACGTTAATTTACCGTAGACGAATATCTACACTAGATTCCCTCCCAGTGTCTATTCTACAGGACTTCAACACAACTCAGATCACGAACACGTGATTAGCGTGAATAGAATGTAAATACGTCTCCACATCAAAAACCGACACAATCCAATTATAGTAAGGATGAAAGGACATATAACTCATATAACTCTTGTCAGACTAACTACTAGTCTGACTAAGCAAACAACCAATCATTATCATCCTCGCTCACACAACAGTACTTAAAAGGAGTTCAATAGTTATTCTTCAACTACCTTAATAACAATTTGACCTCTATTTTCCGCAACTAATCGTACTCATAACTGTTATGATTTCAGAGACTAATACTAATCTCCAACGTCAACTGACTGCTAAGTGAATAGACAAAGAGTTTAGAAGGAAGTTTATTGAGCTAAACCAAATCACACGCTTAAGCACTCATTTAGGTATATATATATCTAAGCCCTAGAAACAGAGAGACAAATGCTTAACCAATGACATGTAGTTGTTATTTGGGGGGTGTTTGGCACAGCGTAGCCTTCTCATATGATAACTTTTAATTGTACCACTGAATCAATCATCTAGTGAATGTAACTAATACGTTCCCTTTCAAAACATTCATTGTATTACGTAATAAATCGATCTAAGCACCTTAGGCCAGTCATTGTAAACAATTATAAGGAGGATCCTCTTTGTTAAAACTGCAATTCTTAACATTTTGTCAATGATTGGAAAGGATTAAATATATCAATTAGTGTATAACTAAAGAGAAAGCAACAAAACACAATTGATTCATCACATCCTGAAAACATTGTCATTTTGACTTTGTTTAAATGTTTGTTCTATATTTGAAGAGATTACAAGTTCACTTTATATCTGAGAACGGAAACAAAGACTCTATGACACAATGACAGATAATTTAGCTATATCTGATACGTCCCAGCCCAGCTAACTAGAAAGAGATGTCCAAGTTTGAAAGAGGGAAATATATTCCACAAGTAGCCAAAAACACGAGCAATAATAAAAGGCACAAATCAAACGTATATATATATATATATATATATATATATATATATATATATATATATATATATATATATATATAATTTCGTCGTTAAGAACTTGAAGGAAACCTTTGCAGTGAATTCATCTAGCTAAGTGTTAGGTCTTGTAGTCATCCTACTTGAATGCGAATATTCACACTGACTAAACGCCTGTTCAACCTTTTGCATAAGTGAGAAAAGCAAGAATGACTTAGATGCTGTAATCGATAAATCGAATGAAATGTATTCACAACTTATCAATTTATATAGATATTCACTCCTGAGAAATCTAAACCAAGATCTTGAAGTATTGCTTGAATAGTTATAACTAATAACAAATATCGTTTAGTACCTCGTAACTAACATGGGATGTGATATGTTTACCTATCTCCCATAGAACACTACACTCAGAAGATAGCAATCCATCTAAGTTGCACAACATCACCATCGTTAATATTTGGTTACTTATGAATAGATTAGAGAATGGTACAATTGTTCATTAAACTAAGTTTCTAGAATTGACTTTATTATGATTTTGAATCATGTCAATTGTGATCTTCAACTAATGAGACAATTCTAAATCATACTTACCATTCTCATGAGTTTATCCAATTGTATTGAGCCATTTCACTGTAATATTTACTCTACCATATAAAATATCTCAGTTTCCTATCTATTTTAATGTCAAATCTTTATTTTAATAGTTGAAATCATGAGTCAATTGAAGCTAGACCATTATGGAAAACCTAGATGTACAGGACGGCCGTTTCGTCCTAGTATGTGACTCCTCAAGAGTGCTCATTAATGATCCAATACTAGAATGAAACAGCTGTCTAATGCTTACAGATTTTTCATGGTGGTCTAGTTTCAATTGACTCATGAATTCAACTATTAAATTACTACAATCTCCACAAAAACCCTCGCTGATTAAGATCTTTATTTCTTTCTTGTTTTGTTATTTTCGGATAGCACAGTATACTACTTACAAATATTCAGTAACTGATTCTATCTCAATTATTTTGAACAAGTGGTATTGTTATTTAACCATTTCAGAAAGCATCCAGTTTCTTAATCATATATGTTAAGAAGTAAGAGGCGAGACTCTAATTTATGGACGAGCCAATCAGAGGCATTTTAAAGATTTCAAGGTAACAGCGCCTTTTTCAGTGCTTAATGCTAATGTACGATCGCTTCACAAGGGATTTTGTACAAAACGTGATAATTGAGGGGCTGTAACAAATAAAACAGCGGGACTATAATTTGTGGACGAATCAATCAGGTATAGGATAATAGATCACGGATTTTAACGCAAAAGCCTTTCATCTATTTGGCTAGATAAATTTCTGGCATTATAGTTGATGTCAGTTCGTGGTGACAACCCCATATATAATTCTTAACTAAGGCAAATTACGACAATTATTGCGAACTGAATAATAAAAGCACCAGTAACACTGGCTGCATCCAGATAGTAAAATATATACGAATGTTTGGAGAGCGTACAGACTCTTACTTAGGTTTGGTTATGTGCATCGTGTCGTTATCCACATTTAGCATTTAGTGCACTCAATAACCGAAGGGCACATAAACAATATTGAAGCTATATAGTCGAATCTGAAAAAGGTTTTGCGACCTTATCATAGCTCCAGAGGTCGACTGTTCTGTAGTTGTATGGATGATTTCCTCTAGTGCATGCATTATAACTTTAGAACCCCTGAACCTCTTTCTAACCTTGACAAGCTTTGGACCTCGTATAAAAAGTGTATCCAGTTTATTTCCTTAGTTTTCTATAATATATATTTTACTCTATACTGTCTTCTTGCTGATTGGTTAATATTTCTCAAGGCCACTTAAGATTATTTCAATGGTCGTCCATAAATTAATCACGCTGAGTAAAATGGTATGGAACCCTTACAAACAAACGAGTTTCTTCAATAACTTACATATATTTTGTAAAAACAGTGCTACTTTGTGAAAAACTATTTCGTTTTTCATTCTAGTTTTCTCAATGTAACAACTAAGCATCATTCCCTTTGTTGACGAATACTAAATAACATGAAACGTCAGAGTATATCATTGACTATGTATAACCGCGATTTGATATAACTCTTACGTTTTATGAGATGAAGGTTGATCATCAAAGTAGGAAGTATATAAAAGCTCAACTAACACTCTACATTTTGATATTGATACTGGTCACAAACAACGTTTTCACAATAGATTTTCTTCAATTATGCGAAGTTTACTAGTAATACTACTACTACTACTACTACTACTACTACTACGACGACGACAAGGATCACTACTACTACCATTACTACTACTACTACTACTACTACTACTACTACTACTACTACTACTACTACTACTACTACTACTACTACTACTACTACTACTACTACTACTACGACGACGACGACGACGACGACGACGACGGCGACGACTACGACTACTGCAGGGCATAATTATCAACAATAAAGTTTCATACATATATATTGGACATAAAAAAGAATTGAGAAAATAGTTAACCAACGACTAATATAGCTAGTTTTAAAGGATGAATTTGTTGATTTTTCAATACTTCTAATCTTGTCGTGCACATTGACTTCGATCCCCAACTACGTATGGTTTACCTTTATCATCAGCTCTACAAAAAATATATATATACCAAAGATAAATCAACTCAAAACAATCATCTAAAGATCAGAAAGGCGTATAAGGGGGGCTATGAGGTTTATGTAACTAAACTGAAGAGGAGAATCTACTATTCTTCACTAGGAGATAATGTATATAATTAAATCTTGAACTTTATGAATTCATAATGATCAAGAATGGTGTATCATAAAGTTGTTACATTTAGTCTATTCGGTAGTTTTTTTCTTTCCTCAATTGACAGCTAATTCTCATTTAAAACATTAAGAACATAAAGTACATCGAAGAGATCTCTTTTCAATGCTGAAAAAAAGATACAAAACAATAGCTTGTTCATCATATTCTAAAGTTATAAATATAGAGATAATAAATAGTCAGTTTCACATTGATTACAGATAGTTACATAATATAATGAACCAATTAAAGCTAGAAATATTGATATTTAGGTGTTCACTAATCGTTATGAAGTGTTCACTATCAATCATCGAGGTTATGGGTTCGATTCGTGATGGTATTATTTATGGTATTTTGATCTGATGATCTAGATTAAAATGAAATAGCTCGATGGTGCCCTCTATGCTTTCAATGATTATTTTAACCAAATTGAATACATGAGACAAAATTATGAAATACAGTTACATAGTAGTTGGAGGTAGTCAACAGGAAACCATGGTCCTGGGTTTCGTGCTACTTGGCACTCATCAGCAAGGTGTACCTGTAATCTTGAGGGAACTGGTGCTCCCTAGCGGGTTCGACCCCGTGTCACCCAGTCTCACAGTCAGAGACATTACCATTGAGCTGTCCAGGTAAACCTTGCTGACGAGTGCCAAGTAGCACGAAACCATTGGGTTTCTTGTCGACTACCTCCAATCACCATTCAGTCTCACAATAATGCACGCAGTGTCGAGTCACCTAGACTGGTGGCCACATTGCATCATGGTCGATAGCATTCGATCTGCACTAATACGGACTTGACACACATGACATTGATCACCACTTAGTGATCAATCAATTGTGATATGAAATACAGTCTAACTACTTACAAAATATATCAATAGTAAGGTTAAAATACTTTTGTTTTCTGATTACTTACGATGGAGAATAATTGCAGACAATCATCAATTTTTTTTTGCATTTATTAAGACCACAACCAATATGTTTAGTTTGAGCCCAAACCATCTACAATTCAAAGATTAGTAAAAGAAGCTGGTTGACAACATCTAGGATAATGAATTTGAGTTTTAAGGATTTGAACAATCAGGTGAAAATGAAAATGATCAGTATGGAGTTATGAAGATTGTTAAGTTTTTGACTGAGATCATGAATTGATCAATGTTAGATCACCATTGTGAACATGAAAGCACTGAATGGTCATTACATCGTAGTATGGAACTTCTCAACAATTTGAATCCACAATCCCGCACGAGAGATCAGTAATCTTGGTGAATTAATTCTGATACATGATTAATGAATCATTTGTGAGTACTACTTCAATTTGAGTATAAATGTTAATGATTCATTGATACGAACCGAAATCGATCGGAATAATCAGTATTGTTAAAACGACTTTTGATTTGATCCAAATGTTAAGTAGGTGTATGCAAGTCTTTGCTTTTTGAGTCTATTTATACATGTGTTTATCATGAACTTGTAGTGGCCTACTTTTATCAAGAGAACGAGGTTAGTTTAATGGAAACAATTATTATTATAACCAGTTGTACCAGTGATTGCTTTACGGTACTTGCTTGTTTAACTGCACTATAGGCATACCTTCTTCCGTTGCTTATGACCTTGCAAGTACTAACGTTTACTCAGTGATTCCACTTGTACTCCTTTGGCACGATCTCGGTATTCTTTCGATACCACGAGATCTTCAACAAATATATCTCTACAACACTCAATCGCCTGTTGATATCTGGTACGCAACCTTCTTGTATTGGTGATCACAGTCATCAACGACTCGACTTCACGTTACAAACTGATGATGAATAGAAATTTCCTCGAAATTTTACAATCATCTTAATATTTCAATCTGAACATTTGATCATGTTAATCTCAGTGTAAGTGAATTCTTCCAATGAAGCTCAACATTTGAAGTAGAGTATTTAAATGACCAATTATTTGATTTTCAGATTTCATGACTAAATATTATCGGGTGATTCGAATTAAATTATATCAATACTAAGTTAGATCTTGTGTGTGCATCATTAGATGTGTTTATCTATGTGTGGAAGTGGATAGGAAACATATTGAGGAAAGCATCCAACTGCGTCACAAGACAAGCTCATACTTGGAATCCTCAAAGCCAAAGGAGAAGAGGAAGACCAAAGAACACATTACGCCGAGAAATGGAGACAGACATGAGAAAAATGAGCAAAAATTGTATAGAACTAGAAAAAAAGGCTCTGGATAGAGTGGGGTGGAGAAGGCTGGTCAGTGGCCTATGCTCCATTAGGAGTAATAGGCGTAAGTAAGTAAATAAGTAAGTAAGTAAGTAAGAAAGTATGTGTGTGTGCGTTTATACTGTTGATATTAATTATCTCTCCCCCAGCCACTAACTAACGCTAAATAATATCACTCTGACATTTAACATTATCGTAAACACTTGTTTTTAAGTAATAATGCTGAGACTATAATTTATGGACGATATTTGAGCGACGTTAAAGTGACCTTAAGAGTGTCTACCTACTTACAAGGCTAAATGAGGGTTAAAAAACAGTTTGAAGAAGAAGGATTATGATTTACAAATGATGGTTAGGGTTAGGAATTAGATTATGGGTTATCACCAAGAAACTGACATTAGCTATAATGCCAAGATTCTATTTAGCTTAATGGGTGAATGAATTTCATGTCAGAATTTCAGACCTGTTATCATAAATCTGATTGGTTCGTCCATTGGTACGTCCCGAAATAATTCCTCCGTAGACTTAAACACTGAATTTTTTTCGGAATCAGATAGATGATAAGCCTCAATAGTTTCAGTTATTTTTAATGAGGTAAGCTAAACAAGAAGGTGAAAAAACGACGTCTTTTGAATTCATACAACAAGAAAGTATAACGTTTTAAAACTGTTATAACTTGTAGCATTGTGCATTTATCAACATATATAACGTAATGATGCCGTCATTTAGATAACAGTGATTTATCGAATGCACCAATGATGCCTGAACACATACGACCAGTCCACAGTCCTTATCGTTCCTTCTACCTACCTAACCCTTCCTGTTGAGTCCAGAACATCACTCGCACCCTCTGCGATATGAGTCATGTATTTCAAACATACTCGGTTTATATATAAACCAAAGATACCATATCATACCATAAAATAGAAAATAACGTTTGTACAAGATTTAGCCAAATGTGGTTGTGAATGTTGGAGACTGTAATTAATAGAGTGAGCATAACTCAAGAACGGTAAATCGTATAATAATAGTCTATGGGTCAGAATAAAGCTTTTGTTTGAGATTATGAACCGAGTGATGCTAGACTACCATTGAAAACCCGGAAGCACTGGACAGCCGTTTCGTCTTAGTATGAGTCTCCTCAGCTATGTGCATCCACATTCTCGCACGTGGGATTCAAACTCAGAGCCTTTGGACTTGCACACGAATGCCTAGTCTATAGAACACTGAGTCGGACATCATCCAGTAGCGTTAATGTCTAACTTCAGGATCGTGAATGAGCACTGCTGAGGAGTCCCGCAACAGGACGGAATGGCCATCCAGTGCTTCTAGGTTTTCCATGATGATTTAGCTTCAATTGACTCATGATCTTAACGATTGAAAATAACTTCCTTGATTATTAACATTTTTCTTAGTTAGTAATTACCGATGAGTAATATCAAACTTAAGTTACGTATATACTAAGTGCTAGTTAAATCAATGACTTACTTGTCTATAGTTTGAACAACTTCCATTACATTTATCTATTTCATAATTATAATTATGAGATTCTCGGAACCAATTTTCCATTGCACTGTAATTATTCGATAAATATCATATTATTATTATTATTAAAACTATTATAATTTATATCATTATTATCATTGATAGTAGTAGTAGTAGTAGTCGTAGTCGTAGTCGTAGTCATAGTAGTAGTAGTCTTAGTCGTAGTAGTAGTAGTAGTAGTAGTAGTAGTAGTGGGGGGAGGAGGAGGAGTAGGTGTAGGAGTAGTGGTAGTAATAGTAGTAGTAGTATTGCGAACGTAAAACACAACTAATATACCTACTTTTCGATTGTATCTGTTTCAGCTACATTTTGTCCTACAGATTCAAACCGTTCCAATAATTTGTCATTGACTAAATCAAAATTTAAATCACATTTATTTGCCACTTGTTGAGCATTTCTTGCTAGTTTTTTATTCCAGCGCTAAAAAAATAAAGAAACGAAAGGTTTAAGAATATCGATCAAAAAGTATTAAGTAGTGAAATTATTGAGAATTAGTTTGATCCTGAAATAATGAAACTTACCAACTCCACCTGAAGCCCCTCTGGGGCTACTGCCGATCAGAAGTTCTGATAAAGGAGGAAGGTTGGGTATAGGGTCAGCGACCCCATCCCATAGAAAACTAACCTGCTAAAAAAACGGCAAGCAGAAAAAATAATCCAACTCGTTTAAACTGTGCCTTGAATGTTAAGTTTTCATTTAGAAGAGTTATGACGTTTCATGATGAAAGTTGAGTTCCTTCGGAAGTCACTAGACGGATGATCCTTCTAACAACCAAAGAAACTATTGATTTAGATAAATAGAATATTCGTACAATAATTGGAGACCGGGAGAGTCATCCAAATGGATGCAAAATGAGACTTCATTAAAGTGTATATCTATAACCTGGCCAATGTTTTAACCTGAGATTGTCACATTTTTACAGTGAACGCATTTAGATTAATTCACAATGGAAAATAGGATTATAAACGTTAAAGAATTCTGTTCTAATGGGCAAATGTTACAATTACAAAAGAAATGATTTCACTGATTGAAATCATGAGTCAACTGAAGCTAGATCACGATGAAATACCTAGAAGCACTGGACGGCTGTTTCGTCGTAGTATGGTACTCCTCAGCAGTGCGCATCCACCATCCCTTATCCGCGAGATGTATAAGATATTTCATGTAAAAGTGTACATGGTTAAATGTCAATTAAAAGGTAAATGATTGCAATATATAAGTATTATTCCTTCATTTATGAATATATAAAATTAAAATCTATCTATCGAATCTACGAATTACCCTTTACATAATTAAGAACCATCTATGAAGTTGGTGTTAATCATGACATAAGTATATGGAACAAATAGGATGAAATGTGCGTCCTATTTTGCCACTATCCATCTTCGCACATAACGCTTGTGAATTAATACTATATCGGGGCGATACGCATTGTATGCACATATGCCAATAAGGGAAACACTGATCAGTTGCAGTTCTAAATATCAATGAGAAGATTCAAACAATCAATACCGAGAGGATATGAAACAGTTTGTGATTATTTTAAAACTAGAGTTACATTTACAATTAATGAATAGAGTTTGTTTGATACACTTATATTTCTGAACTATTATAACCATCATCAAAGGGTACATGTATTCATAAACAATTATTTAAACAAGATACTCCAGATTCGTTGACCGCTTACATTGAATCTCAAGGTAAACGCTAATTTGAAATCCCAGAGGGAAACAAAAAACAAGAAAGCCATAGAACAAACCACGTCAGGAATTGAAAGCAAACATGAAAAGAATCAATAGCAACTGGAAACAATAAGAAAGGAATGATTGGGACAGAGTTAGATGTAGAATGCTAGTGGTTGGCATCTGTTCCTCGATGATTGTTAATAGACATAATTAAGCAAGTAATTAAGTAAGTAATAACACTTCATCACATACCATATTAAAATAAACTTAATTAATCTTACCAATACTTCCATATCATAAGCTGGAGGCTGTGATGGAACTTTACAAAGTAGTAAAGAATTTCTATAATATGTATGTAGACGATGTACCGTTTCTAATTTTTGAGATAAATTCTGTTTAGCACCAGTCACAGTGAAAATCAATAATGAGATAACAACAGGAAAACTATATAACTGGTGATTATTTCTCATAGCTCTTCCCTATAAATTACATAATTTCATATATTATGTAACAATTTATAGTATAACAATAATCCATTACATTGATTACATTCATTAAAAGTGGAGTTAAATAAATCATAGAAATCATTTTGAATGACATGACATACTTGACAATATGTTTGATGTTATGACTTATATACTTTACTTCTTCTTATATAGTCAATTGAAATGAACTAGAATTAAACTTTATTCATAAGATCTTATGACTTATTTCTATGTCAGTTGTCCAAAAAAAGAACACCAGTAAAATATTAATATCTATGGTGGTCTAGCATAAATTGACTCATGACTTCAACTATTGAAATCACTATAATGTGTAGGTTGCCTGTTTGAATACCTGAGCTACTTGTTTCTGCCATCGTAGTTAAGCACTGCGAAGGAGTCTCACAACAAGATGAAATGGCCGTCCAGTGCTTGCAGGTTATTTGATAGTCCATGTGGCCTATGCAATCGTATCTTAAGAACTTCCGACGAAACCAATTAATATGATAACCACTGAAGACAAGAAATTGAAATTAGTTAGTATAAGATCTGTTTCCGAAATCCTGTGTACGAAAATCCCTTCACATACTGTTTTGATTTATTTTTCTGAATTCCTTCAGACGAACGTTTCGTTAATCCTTTGTTTTCGCTTGAGATTATTTTAATTATATTTTATCGAGGTTTTGTTTTTCACTCGTCTTCGTTGATTCTCCATGTTGATCCTAAAATACATCTACATTGTTTGAGTTGATGATTAATATAGTATCTGCTATACCGATACGCTCTCCTTTGAAATTGTGTTGTTTAGATTAACTAGAATTGTACACTTTTGACGTGAACTGAAGCACTCTTCCAGAACTGGAAACACTCAGTGATATAATCAAATTGAATGTTATTTCTTGAGCAGTCTTTACATGTTGTATCAAGAACGAATGGAATATCATTCATTTATTTGTTGCAATCGGCACTTCGCTCATATCCTACATCGCTTTATCCACTGTATGTAATTTAGAATTGACTACTGATTGGAAAATTATTAGCTGAATAACTGGATGGCAATAATGAACATCCAGATTTATAGTGGAATTCAGAACCATTATTTAAACAGTCATTTTCTTATTTCGACTGTGCAATAGCGCTTATCTTAACTTACTTAAACAATTCTTTATCATTCCTAACTTCTTTAATATGAAAGTTTCAATTAGTACAGGGAGATGTTTATTTAGGCAGCACACAAAGAAGAAGATTATGTAGTTTCTTAAACATCTAATTCTCATTGTCAAGCAATCTACAATGAAACGTATCAGATCCAAGCAAAAGTAGCAACTGTGATCGCCTGTTAGATACCCCATATTTTATACGAAGTTGTGTTTTACCGACGATACTGTCAAAATGTAAATACGTTTAGTAAAAACTTTATGATGAATAACAATAAGCGGTATATTGTTTTCAAGCGGCTGATGGAAAGCTCGATTTCCAAAGTCACTTTTTGTGGATCAAAACCTCTTCATTAACCATTTTTATTGGCTGATACACATAGAAGTGTTACGACTTGACACTAATCGATATCACGTGGCCATAGTTTTCTCTCTCCTGTGCCTACTACTTCTCTTAATGCTTTGTAGTGACTTACATTTATCACGAGAACACGACTGGTTTAATAAAAACATTTATTATTATAACCAACTGTACCAGTGCTTGTTTTAATGTGCTTTTGTTATACTGTGCTAATAACAGCTATATTGTGCTTTCATTCTTATTCTTACACTTTGATTTTTACTTCGCGCGAATTCGGTTACGTTCTGTAACCACGCTTGCATCCTGGCACGATCTCGGTATCCTTTCGATACCACGAGATCGCCAGCGAATACATCTCGATTTGGTCCACTAATTTCCTTCTGATATTTGGCATCCAGGGGATTTTATGGAGTCATTTAGCACGAGTTTCTTGGTAGCGGTGTTCATAGTCCATCTCCACTCGACACTACGCAACAGCTTAATGTACAAGACTTGGCAAATTAATCATTCTTTCCTGGGCAGTAAACATTAAGCCAACAGAGTCTGTAGTCTAGATAGTTTTCTGTTCAAACGTTTTTTATCTTCTGCCTTAAACCGGAAGAAAAGCCATCAGCCAGTTTCTGCTATACTATGTTTCAAGCACATGTGAGCTTATAAACAGAAATACTAGATCATATAGCATCACAGCATAAACAAGTCAAAAGTGGCTGTGTGTAGGCAAGTCGTAAATGATTACTGGGAAGTAAATCGAGAATAACAAGCTGTGTAATAATAGTTAACAAGCTAAGCGAAAGCTTGCAAAATACTGAATACATAAATGTAGCAGTCTAATCGCTCGATAACTACACAATAAGATGTGCAGTGATAACCCATAAATTAATACAGAGGCTATTCTTTTCCTTAATCATAATTCTAATAGGTCAAGAACTTTTTATAAAACAAATAAATTGATCAACATTTTTATCGCACATAATATCCTCACTGGTGCTACTCTGTGCTAGTAAATCACATAGGAAAATCCGTGGCAGTAATGCCCATTACGAGATACTGTATGGATCTAAGATTGTCTTAAAATTTTCAAATGTGCTTTCAGATATCCATTTAGCTGACGATTACAATCTTAAGGTTATATTTAATGGAGGTTGTTATCACACCAGCCGCAGCTGATCACAAGAAACTGGTGAAATGTTCAACTTTGTCTGTAGCGAGGTTCTTCACGGAGTTGATTTTGAGCATACATTTGTTAACCACAATCAAATCGGGTTTTCTGAGAGCGATGTAAACCGGATATATAAACGGCTACTTGTTGAGTAACATTTCAGAATTCTATCAGACTGGTCTGTCAGCGTAGTTTATCTACTGAAGCTATATCAAAACTAACTTTCGTTTCTTCCAAGCATATGGAAAACCAAGGAAAACACTTTATGCCTATGACTTCACAAATAGATAAGATTTTTTATATATTAGATGTTCTGTAAGGAGGTTAAAAGTTCAAAATTAGACTATTTGCTAACTTATGATCAGATTCTGGTCGACGTTGCAAATTTCGAAGCACTGGTAGGGAGTAGTGACCGTGGAACTGTCACGTTCAACAAGAGTGCTTCTACATTTGTTATATCGGAACAAACTGCATGAATTCAGAGAGTATTTTCAACATACTCGTTAGTCACAAGAGTCGTGGAATATAACAGTAGATTGCCACCAAAGATAAAGTGAGATACTGTTCAGGTCATGACATACGTCATGCCAAACGCAGATCCAGGACTACAACACACCAGGTTAAATGAGACACAGAACGCCTACAACGGTCCAAAACTGGTGTCTGGCACAAGTGGAGAACTGCCTTAAAGGATCTCAATCATAGTTTTTGCCTTGTACTGATAAACAGATAGAGGCTAAATGTTCGAATCCACAGGAGATGTTTCCAGTCCAAGTTGAGAGCTAAAATATAAGCTAACCCAATATAAGTTCATAACTAAACGAAAATCTACAAACGAAGAGGTCCTGTTCTCCATAAGGGCTTATTGGTGAAAATCTTATAAAATTAGAGACAATGTAAACTTCGTTGAGTAACAAAATCAGGGTTCTCAAAATGCGGACCTTTCTTGGACAACAGTGTTGACTAAAAGCCTGCAGAATACCTATCTAACTCCCTCTCTGCATGATGTGAAAACAGCCGTCTAACATCCTGAAATAACGAGCTGAAGCTAATAGCAAAGAAATGTGTGGTATGTTCAGATACTCAATAGATTCATATCTCAAAGATTGGAAACAAGCTATTCCCTTTCCATTTTTCAAAGAAGGTAAGAGAGATTCAGACTACTTGCAAACCATCCTCATCACTCAAAATTCTGTCGACGACAAAAATAACGTCCTGCGTTAAGTTCAACATAGGTTCGTGAAAACTTTGTCCTGTATGTCTGAGAATTTCGTAATATGGGACAGCCGGACAATCTGCAGGGAGCAAAAGATGCCGCTCCTTGTAATATTCCCTTAATTTACAATAGCCTCCGACATAGTGGTGCACGTACTTCTCATAGTGAATTCTGTAAACATGGGTTTTAAGGACCCGCTTCTATCTAGTTTCCGAAACTATCTAGAGAACGGTACGTTTCACACCAAGTAAATCCAGTGCACTGGAGTTGTAGGGTTTTAATATCAGGAGGTTTACATTGAACTACCGTAAGTTCACCTTTCTTTCTGATCTTCAATGTCGACCATTAGGATAAAATCAGATCGACAAACGATTAAAAAAATCTTGAGCTCCATCGAAAGCAAAAAGAATACGCCTGAGTTTATGAAGTACTTTACAACAAAACAAGAATGAACTGTAGGCAACAGGTTAAAATGTGACCTGTTTAAATGTCATGTCATTTGATGCAAAAAAGTTATATCATTTATAAAAATACGCTACAGCTGTATCCTCAGAAAGTGATCTCGGGTTTTCAACCACCGACAGACTAGACATCAACTTGAAATACATGAGGGATTTAGGCGAAGTAGACGCAAATCATCACTTCATAAGAAGATAATTCAATGTGGTTATTCGGAAGTTATCCTTAACTCTTTCTAGAACGCACAGATCCACCTTGAAGTCCAAAATGTCGTTGCACCCGCTCTCCGAAAAAACCCTCAGACCAGGTATAAAGGCGGGGAAGTAAGAAGGTGGAAGTGCCAATACAAAAATCTTACAGACACACCCTAACACTTTATATTATTATTACCGAGCTATAGGAGAATAGGACGTGACCTGATAATGGCAGGTAACATATTAATTACTTCAAGTCACTCCAACACGAGCATACTTCCAGAACACCACAATAACGCGTCGCAAGTACGCCGACACTTTCATTAAGGGTTCCTCCCGATTGGAACGCTCTTCCAGTGGATACTTTCAAGATGGGATATAGCAAACACACACTCACCTACAAGTTACCATCTGTCCACTGAAAAAAACTGCATCTGATATGTTTCATAATTTACGACGGTTATCATCGCCTCATATCAGTGACTGCTTTCTATTTCGTCTATTGCCATCTTCGTTCCCTCTCTTATTCTTTCAGTTCGGCCTTCTCTCACTGTGTGAATAACAAATTAGTTAACACAATTATTTAATTATTTCGTGTAACAATCTTCTTCGCTCACCACTCGAATTATCACTAAATATTTTCCACATAGCTTCCAACCAACCTCGTGATCTGGTGCGGATGCATGACCAGGCGCCTTCAGCTAGGTGAGTCCAGTGAAGCTCATGTGCTCAGAAACGAATGTCGAAGAAGCACAGAGCTATTTATTTTGGAGATTTATTTACCGCCACAATGGTAATGTGAAAGCAGCTGATATCCAAAAACCCTACTCAAAGACAAGACGTGGATGCTCACTAAAACGACAAGACTTGGGTGCTCATAAGTCATCACTTTACACAGGCTCGTGACAAAGATATTGTATATTGTTTAATATAGCGTGAACAATGAATGTAAATAATTGAACAATGTTCAACAGGTTCAGTGTTGGCATTGACTACAAAATGCAACCGCTGCGCTCAAAAGCGAAGTACAATAACGAGTTGGACAATCTGCTTCTAGTTTCGATCACAAGATTGTACTTATTTGAGGCTTCTGTTATTTCTGTTTGTTGTCGATTGCTTTAGTTATAAAATGTAAGTACATTGCGTGTGCTTGCTTAATCATCAACTCGCCTCCATTTTTGTTCTCTTTATTCCTGTCCTACTTACTCACTACTCTTCATACTCCGCAGTAAATAAAGTACTTTGTGGCAAGACACAAACGGCTAAAAGTACGCGTTTGAAAATTTATGCTAACAGCTTCTTTCGACTACGCTTGCGTTAATGCTGCACAGCATTAGTGCCGCGCGGCACTAATCATGATTAATCAACATTAACAACAACTGTTATCGATTGCTTTTCTTACTAAATAAAGATGCATTCTGTGTCCTTACTCGTAACGTTTGGTCGAAATTCGCCAGAGATAGGTGAATTTTGAGATAGTTACACAAAAACGTTGTGTCTGACCCTTTTCCCATTGCCGTATCGTAGGACACAAGGTGACCTTATACTGTCATTTCGTATCTTCAATTATGATTTGGGTGTTAATATGTCTTATCTATTTGCTCCCTCCAGCACTAATAATCTTCGAGGTCATGGCAAGAAGGTTCACAAACCGCGATCTAATAAACCTAATGTGAGGTCCCGTTTTTCTCATCGAGTAGTCAATGACCCGAACGTCTTACCCGAACAAGTGGTATGAGTCCCAGCAAATATTTTTAAGGAGAAGCTAGACCTTCACTGGAAGGCAATCTGTCAGGATTAACACAGGTTGGCCAACCTACTATCCTTATTACTGAAGTCTGAATAACAGAATTGACGAAAAACCATCAAAAACTCACCCATTTGTGGGATTTTTACCACAACGTATGCTAAATTCACCTTAAATCTTACCACGCTTTAGGAAAAATCTGTGAATTGAGGGTTGAAAATCCCAAAACGTTTACTGTTATTGTGTTTTTGACAAAACGCTTGTCAGGTAAACCATTTTGGCGGATCATTTTCAGTAACTGCACAAACGACCTAATTTTCCTGCATCAAATTTGAATATACGAACTACTTCAGGTATTTTCACAAATAGTACCGCATAAAGAACTTTGATAAATCAGACAGAAATTACGTTCTATAACTTCGGTCTGTGTTAAAGCTTTATTGTTTACCATATCCATTACACTAAAAGTCATCTTTTGGTTATAAATAATTCATCGTTCACACTGGGTCGAAAATTTGCTTTATCGAACGAACTTACGTCGTCAAGTTACTAAGCGTTATGAACGTAGTCTTTCTCTTACACGCTTTGCTTATCTTTCACTATGAATGTTATTTTTGATAAAAATAAGGTTTTCTTGTTAAAAATGTAATTGTTTATTAATATAAACGAAAAATTTTGTGCAAAAAACACATTGGAAGCTGAATGTCCACGAATCCTGTTCGTTTATGTTATTGATATTTTGAAGCAAATAAAAAGAGATAACCTTACTGTTTGCTATCAAGAAATGTGACGGTAAGATTGAAGTGTAACTATGTTTACGAATGTTGTATACAGTTAACTAAAAATGGCATGACTATGGTAAGTTCTGTACATGCGTTTGGAATGAATGCCTCACCATTATATCCCTCAGTGTATACTTTCTTATCTTTCTTTTTTCGTCCAGATTCTCCCATACGTTGCTCTTCACACTTTCCAAGAACACAGCGTAAACCTCAACGTCACAATTATGGACACTGAGTAAGTTACTGTGATGATAACAGCACTCGAAATGAAATAATGATGACAAAAGTTGGGGAAGAAGTTTCATACAATCTGATTGTTGTTTTTATTCCTTAATTCTTTTTTATTTTCCGCCTTTTAGTCCAAAAGGACTTAGTTCTTAATGAATTGGGAAGGTCCTTCCTCGAATTGCATTGTACTCAGAAAATAATTTGTGTTTTTGTCACGAAAATATGTTTAAAACGTATAAGAGATAGCCTCTATCAGTGAATACTAGTAGATTGTCCTAATCTTTGATACTGAAAATTACTAATTTGTCACAGTCAACTGATTATTATTGTTGATAAGCAATCAGAAACGCTTTGACTTATTGTGATGATTAGGAGTATTTGATTTTAGTACGAACTAAGAATCCCAGAAATAACGCAATTAAATCATGAAGTACTAGATAAGCACGAACGAATGTACTGTATTTGGAATTCGAAATCAAGCATACAACAAGTACAAAGGATCCAAATGCTTCACAGTAACATCTACTTCTGGTTGACAGATGGATATCTCTCTTAAGTGACAAGTGGTGCAAGTTGGTAGTGGCTGATCGAGCTTTCTATATTGTGCCGAGATTTTGTCAAATGCCAAGCAATCAGTACTGATGATGATATCAAACTAAGTCAGCATATATTTTCGGGAAGTCAAAACAGCCATAATAAATATTTTGATGTAATCATGATGATTGATGATGATGATTGAAAGGAAACTAAAGAATTTCTTTAAAATATTTACGCTTGATATTGTCACTAGTAAAATGAATAAGTAGTATTTCTGACAAACCAATAATAAACACAAAGTATATATCTCCTAATGTATCAAATATTTATTATTGTTTGTATGCTTATAAGAACGGTTTACTTCCCCGGAAACTATCGTTCCTAACATAAAAGGTTTGAGTACATTGTTCACTTCCTTAAATCCTTGTTGAGGCTTTTTGCGTTCACATTTCTGTGGAGTCATAGAGCAGGATAAGAAAAAAACTATCTATTACTCATTGATTTCTAATAGTTGTTTATCTGAACTAACTTCATGATGTAAACTACAGTCTTGATTTTGTTTTTATTTTAGTTTTAGTAGTGGAAGTGGAGAACTACAGGGACCAGAAACTTCATATTTGATTGAATGTGTTGGATCAGTGTTACGGCAGTATATAGCTGAAGTCTTAATTAAACGGCCTGTGGATCCAATCGATTATTTGGGTCGATGTTTAAAAAATTATATAAGAATAAGAGATATTGAAATGAAAGTAAGTTTTTGGACAATCTATATAAATAACAATCTTAGTGGTAATCCTAAGTAAGAAGAAATACTTATCCTGGATTTTATTGCTAGCTCTAATCTGAATTTATCAAGATGTTCTTAATTTAATAGTTGAATTCATGAGTCAATCGAAGCTGCACTACCATGGAAAACCTGGAAGCACTGGGCGGCCGTCTCTTCCTACTGCGGGACTCCTCAGCAGTGCGCATCCACGATCCCGCCTCGCGAGACTCGAACCTAGTACCTATCGGTTTCACGTGCAAACACTTCACCTCTAGACCACTGAGCCGGCCGGCATCCAACGGTGTTGATGTCTAACTTCAACCAATCCACGAAATTGCACCACCGTGCACCATTTTCTCACAACAGACCTGGTTGAACTCCATTAGTCACGGCTATTACATGGTTGAGAATTGACATATAAGTTTCCGTCCGTATGTAGTTCCTTATTCTCTTCAAAATTGTCTCATGTATCCAATCTCACTCACGTTGATTTCAAGTTTTTATAAAGTTTTATCATTTGTTATTCCCTCATTTTACACCCATACTTTGAACCATATTCTCATGTCTAAACTTTCTTACTATTAATTGATACTGCTACTACTATTTTTTAACACCCTTGTCAGTTTCATTTCGATGGGTTAATTTGGTTTGCTAGCTTAAACCCATAGATATTTATATTAGGTATCACATTGACTGACTAACTCTTATTGCTTTGAATGTTTTATTTCTAGCCAAAATATAGCTAGTTCTATGAAATTCAGTAATCAAATGTAAACTTTTTCGAACATAGATAGGTTTGACAATTTATCATTGTCAGAAAAAGTATATAATTTTGAAATCATACTTCAGAACACTTTAAACCACCACTAGAAACACGGAAGCACTAGACATCTATTTCGTTTTAGTACGCCAATCCTCAGTATTGCACATCTACGACTACGGGATCAAGGAATTTAATCAAGGGCCTTTCATTTTACTTACGAATGCCTGCATCGTGAAATACCGTTACCAACTTTGGACAGTAAAGGAGGGTTGAGAAACATCACGAAATGATTAAATTTAGACATTAACACCATTAACACCAATATCAGGTCAACATTAGACGTTCTCAAACGAGACTGAAAGTCCTATGTTCAATACTTTATGGTGGGTTTGTGATTGTTCGCTGATGAGGAGTCTCATATTGAGACAAAACAGTCCTCCAATACCTACAGGTCTTCAGTGGGGGTCTAGTTAAGACTATTTCATGATTTCAACTAACAAAACTCCACAATCTTCACAAACCCTCCATACTGATTCATTACCAATTCATTTTCTGTTTATATTATAATATGTTCACAAAGTTCTATTCTATGTTTGTAAGATTTAGACGTTAAAAAAAGAGGTCATTTGTTGAATACTAGCATCTGATCATTGACGACTTTGAAGCATCGCTCATATATGTGCTGAGTTTAGAGATAGAGTACTATGCGGAAATGGCATATCAACTGATGAGGTTATGAATCTTCATCAACTGAGGTGCCTGAGGCATGTATTACAAATGTCATAACCATCGGTTATCTTGACGTGCGATGGTTAAAGGGGTAGGGGTAAATTGGAAGAAAGATAGTGGGCTAAACTAAAACCTTGGCTTCAATCCATGAAGTAACTGACTATTGAACTGAACCGTGTAGGTAAGTATGATTTATTTGGTCGTGTTCCACAAGTTGATAATGACCAATAGCTGGAACTTTTGATTGATATAACTCAGAAGTGGTATTAATCGTGCAGACTCATTCAATATTAAACTTCCTTTAGATCTTGAGCATTACAATAATCATTTACGTTTTGCCCCATTCACTCACTTTTTCTTCCCTCGTCATTTTCTTAATACCTAATGCTTTCTAATACAAACAATACAGTTATTACTTCTAGCATTTTAGAACGGTGTAGTGACTTGAACTGATGGACATATCCGACAGATTTTACGTTACTTATAGCTGATTATTTACACATTATATACTCCAAATGCATGAAAGATACTAACTAAAGCTGAACAAGTGGCTTGTCACATGAATGCATTTGCATCCTTGTGTTGATGTTCATTCTGAAATTAACTAAAAGTTCACATTTTTTAATAACTTATCAAACCCGTACAATGAAGTCACTAAATATAAATGTCTTTGTGATGTAAAGTGGAACAGATTCAGTGATTCCACTTGAGAAGTGTGAGAGAACGTTGAGCAAAGAACAAATTCTCAATCGTATAGTATGTATCTGATTAGAAGTTATTTTCGAAAACTGCGTTAGACATGTGATTCCACATCACAAACTAACCTTTGTTAGATAACCATTGCAATCCTAGGAAACAGTAAATCGTTTCTTCGCCTTTTAAACAGTACATGCCCTGTGACAAACACCTTTTGATCACTGAATTAACACTTAATATTTTACATCCCTAGCTTCTGTCAATGTTCAACAACTCGATCATTCTTGCTATTCACCTTGATAGTTCTTTGTGATTGTAATAATGTTATGTCAGATTTGTCAGACAGATGTACCTGCATCCCAGAGTTCATGTTCACTCGATCACTCCAAACACCATCGTGTAATCCACTTAGTTACTGCTTCTAGATATCCGGTAGCTTTTGTAACAGGATGAAGTTTAATTCATCTGTATTAGTTGTGTTCAATCTTTTCATTGCTGTTCATGACTGCAATTGATCAGTCTCTTTATAATGCTTGTGAATTACTGGTAGTATCTAGGTAATCTGCATAGGATAGACATATGCAAAAAAGAGACTGATCGATTACAAACCCAAATACTATTGGGAAGATTAAAACAGCCAAAACAAACAAATGTACAGCTTGACAATAAATTCGTCCAGTGCTTCCAGATTTTCAATGGTAATCTAGCATCAATCGGTTCATGATCTCAATAAAAAAAACTTAATAATCTCCACAACCCCACACAGATAATTACTATGTGCTCACTAGTGACTAGAATTATGAGGGAATTCTCGGAGTTCTAGTGAGAAGCCGTGAACAATGAAGTTAATCCGTGTCGGATAGAGACAAGTATTTACCTCAGTACAATGTTAGATGGCCGAACAATTTTGTGGATTGGTTGAATTTAACTTTTAATACCACTGGATGCAGGCCGGCTCATTGATCCATAGGTTAACTGTTCGTGCACGAGACCGAAGGTCTCGGGTTTGAATCCTGTGAGCGGGATCGTGAATACGCACTGCTAAGCAGTCCCATACTAAAATGAAACGGCCGTTCAGTGCTTCCAGGTTTTCAATGGTAATCTTACATCAATCGGTTCATGAGCTCGATCAAAAAACTTAGTAATCTCCACAACCCTATACTGATAAAAATGAATTTATCCAATAATTCTTATGTATTTTTTCTCTAAATATTTCAACCTTTCTTAATAAGGAATCTATGGAAAACAATGAAATAATCAATTTGAGTCAATTAGAAGAAAATGAAACTTCATTAGAAACTAAAAATGAGGAAAAAACTTCAGATATCACAACAGAATCAAAGAATAATGAACATTATTCAGATGACAAAATGATTAATAACGATATAGATATGAATAACATTAATGAAATTGAAGCTAATAATAATGATATAGAGATTCAGGATAGAAATCAATTGCAAAGTGATTCAGAGAATGATGTCAAAGAATCAATAAATCAAGGAGAAGTAGATGATGATGATGATGCTGATGACGGTGAACAAAGTACATTAAAATTTGATAATGAAACTGATGATGAAATCACTTTTGAATCACAAATTAAACAAGATATTAATGAAACACCATTAGAAGGTGAGTGAGTGAATGAGTGAGTGGGTGAGTGAGTGAGTGAATGAGTGAGTGAATGGGTGAGTGAGTGAGTGAATGAGTGAGTGAATGGGTGAGTGAGTGAGTGAGTGAGTGGGTGAGTGAGTGAATGAGTGAGTGGGTGAGTGAGTGAGTGAATGAGTGAGTGAGTGAATGAGTGAGTGGGTGAGTGAGTGAGTGAATGAGTGAGTGAATGGGTGAGTGAGTGAGTGAGTGAGTGAATGAGTGAGTGAGTGAGTGAGTGAGTGAGTGAGTGAGTGAGTGAGTGAGTGAGTGAGTGAGTGAGTGAATGGGTGAGTGAGTGAGTGAGTGAATGAGTGAGTGAATGGGTGAGTGAGTGAGTGAGTGAGTGGGTGAGTGAGTGAATGAGTGAGTGGGTGAGTGAGTGAGTGAATGAGTGAGTGAATGGGTGAGTGAGTGAATGAGTGAGTGGGTGAGTGAGTGAGTGAGTGAGTGAGTGAGTGAGTGAGTGAGTGAGTGAGTGAGTGAGTGAGTGAGTGAGTGAGTGAGTGAGTGAGTGAGTGAGTGAGTGAGTGAGTGAGTGAGTGAGTGAGTGAGTGAGTGAGTGAGTGAGAGGAGTTAATCAATCAATCAGTCAGTGTTCATTTTCTATTAATTATGTGTTTACTAATTTTGATTGTTTAGTTACTATGGGAAATGTCCCTCAGTTACTGATTTTTCAAATGACTTTTAACAAGACATTAATATAAGAAAATGATTTGATACTGAGTTACTTTGTATAATAAATTTCAAATATGTTGATGAACTAGTGAGTTTCACTTGAAGTATGCCGAATCCTTTCGTTAGTATTTATATACATATATTACAGGGTGAATGGTTTAATATTGAAACGTAATTGTCTTTCTGGACAAATGCCCTGGTACGGCCGAGAGTGGGAAGAGCCGCTCTCTCTCTCGAAATGCTCTAACACGGCCACATGCATACAACCACTACCAGGAAGGTCCTACTCACTGCCTTCTCGATACAGAGGTGTTGTTTACAAAATTGAGAGGATGAAAAGTGAATATCCGGTGATTTAACCGGGTTGGTGGATACAGAAGATCCACCTAGAGGTTGAAACGTGCATTTTGGATTACAATGCTAGCCACTATCCATCATTGCTTATATCACGTATTTTCTAAAGATCAAGCACTAGGCGAGATATTATCAACAAAACATGTTATTAAAGGAAGTCTCTTTTACACTTATTCATCATTTCAACCTATATATTCAGTCTTCTAATTTACATGATAAATTTGATATATGTATAGAAAGTGTCCATGATAACTGAATCAGATGGTAGAACTCAAATATAATAAAAGGTAATAGTTTTATATAACTCATATGATGAAAATACAATCTCACTATGTTTATGTGGTTTTTCTTCTTTTTATTGACAGATATTACTGATCCTGATCATCATGATGATGAGAATGATGATGATCAAACAGAAGAAGTGACTGATTCTGAAGTACAATAAACTGTTACATTATGTATTATTATTTCATTAATCATTTATTTCATGTATGAATAGGTTTGAGTAAGTGAATGAATGAGTGATTGATTGATCAATGAATTGAGTGTTTTTATTATGGACGCAAGTTCGAGTGTAGTAAGAACATCATCATCTTTGATCAAGTTAATATATTCCAATTTTTCCCCTAGAACGTTTTCTTTTATTTACAGAATAGAAAGTCTGTATTTAAACTTAACTTATACTATTAGGTAACTAATTTTAATAATGTAAAGATGATATTCTATGATTAAGATTTATGATTTATCAATAATAGACAAATATTGTATCTATAAGCAAAGATAGATAGTGGCAGCCCCCCCAAATACCCTGGTACGGCCGTGAGTGATGAGAGCCCGCTCTCCCCCTCGAAATGCTCTCACATGGCCAAGCGTATATAGCGTCTGCCAGGGAAGTCCTACTCACTGCCTTCTTGTAGCAGGGGTGTTGTTTACGAAAACGAGAGGACGAAAAGAGAATGTCCGGCACTTTAAACAGATCCCGAACCAAATCAATGGTGCACATGGGCTCCAGTATCCTGAGGGAACAAATGGCGTACGAACCAGTCGTTGGTCACCGGCTACCATGGGACTGCATCTCCTGACGTTGCTCCACTGCCTTGTGGATCAGACCTTTAGGTCGAAGGCTCAAGGTGTGGCCCCCTAAGAAAACCACCTGTTTCGGTTTGTGCCCCCGGTTAGTATCACAGCCCCCATACATATCAAATGAAATTTGTGTGGCGCATATATATTTGGTGCCTACTTGTACCAATATCTATGTGTTAAAATAAAATAAAATAAGATAGTAGCTAGCAGTGGAATCCAGTTTGATGCGCGTTTCGTCCTATTTGGAACTTGCCAGCTGGATATACAAAATGCGCATCTTGGATTCCACTGCTAGCCACTATTCTATCTTTGTTTATAATGCTTGTGAATTAAGTCAATATCGAGGCAATCCTCACAGGATGCACATATACCAATAAGAGACTGATCAATTACAGTCCTACATAACAATAGGAAAACACAAGTAAAACCAACACCTAGTGAATTTAAATACTGTAACTGTTTCAATCCTTCCAGATTCTCCATAGTGGTCTACCTTCAATTAAATCATGAATTCAACTATTAAATAGGAACTATTTCAACTTGATTGTAATATGCTTATGTATATATCTTAACATTTCAAAGTAATTAGTCCCTTTGATAAATTTCGATAGAGCAATATGAAAAAATGTTCTCAGAAAGTGTTTTGTGGAGATTTGAGAAATTTTCACTGATTGAAATCATAAGTCAATTGAAGCTAAACTACCATGGAAAACCTAGAAGCACTGGACGCCGTTTTGTCCTGGCATGGGACTCCTCTACGATCCCGCACCCCGCGAGATTCGAATCCAGGACCTATCAGTCTCACTCCAGGCGCTTAACCATCTAGGACGAGACGGTCGTCCAGTGCTTCCAGGTTTTCCATGGTGGTCTGGCTTCAACTGACTTATGGTTTCAATCAGTGAAAATGCATTTCATTTGAAAAATGTCATGTATTTGCGCTATATATTTCAAACAATCTAGTAATACATATACAATTCAAAACATTTTATATGAAGATTAATGAAGATTAATTAAAACGAAGGTTCAAGTAAACAAGGTAACAAAGGAGAGAGAGACATTTTTTTACATCATATAGAAGGAATAAGAATTTGTCACATAACCATAAGTCATAAAATGATTTAAGCATTACCAGGATAAGTTCAAAGAGAATAACCAAGACTTCAACATGCCTGAGAATTCATCCTTAACAATTTCTATACAGCATTTATAAAACTGTATTTGTTAGATCTATCGAAGCATCCAAGTCACCCGATTGAGATACGCGCAAAACCGAAGTTTCCAAAACAACGATTTGTCTACAATAGCGGTTCTTTATTAAATAATACACAAAATTTAGTTACAAACCTCAACTTGTGAGGTGTCTGAGGCGTTTAAACGCGTCCTTCAAGTATAAAACAAAAACGCTTCCAGTAACAGTAACATAAAGAATAATTACAACATATGATAGTACAAAGGATAGCTGATAGCTGTGTCTAAATTTGATAACAGTTTATGAACAACCGAAACCCGAATCAAGAGCGAAACATTATGGAAACTGTTGCATTTAAACAAATGCACGAAACTGTGGATAACCGCTACAGCGATTAAGGTATAGTGATTATAATGATAAATACAATAAACGTTATAAGTATATGTGAACATTTCAGAAAACTACACTAGAACTTGCGTTACAACATAAGTGTAAACAACTGCTTATTGAATGTAAATAAGTAGTATAAAACAATATACGAAGAAGTGGAAAGGGAGCGAGTAGGAACAGTGTAAGACAAACTTAACAGTATGAATGTCAATTTTATGCCCTGTTTCAATTATATGTTTCACTATTGATGAACATGGTATTCTACATTCCATGTTGATCGGATCATTTGACACTAATTAATTTTGAAGCCATCTATTCACATATACCATTACCTTTGATTTGATTGTTCAATTACTCCTCCCTATGTATATGTGTCCCACATAAACATGTATTTGATTGAATAAATCAAAGAAATGGTGTATTTATCGATTGTTTCTATGGTCAGTTCTAGAATTATTTGGTTATTCCACGCGGGGGGTGGGGGTATAAAATTTGTATCTGGGATTTCAACTTTATCTACTATGTTCATTTTTTTTAGTGAATGAGAATACAAGTCGAGACAATCGAATATATTTGAATCAAAAATTACAGAATCCATTAGTAAAATCTGAGAACCATATAGTGAATGACTTCATTTACAATATGTCAATCAATTGTCTCAGACTTTATTGTTCCTTCGTTTTGATACTAATCACTCTTTATTCTCATTCTCTTTTCATTGATCTTCTTAACCATTTATCGCCAGGCACTTCACTTCCGATTGATGATGTTACATGCTACTTATATCTATCAATATCAGTAGCATACATCACAATATGAATTGTTTTTATCTAGTTCAAAGAGAATAATAAAAGAGACCTAATTTGTAAATTATAATTCAAGTTACAATAATTGGAATTGGATATATCTGGAATTTCATAATTAAAGGTCATCTAAACTTTATATCACCACCATCATTGTTGATAGAAAGTATAGTTAAAGTAGTAATCAATAATTCACATCCCTGGTCGATGATGTAGGAAATGTTCCATTATAGAATTTTTATTGATTCTGATCTATGATCAGAACAAATTTGTTGGATAATCTATTCGGTTGTTAAACTAAACAACATAAATCATTCAATCATTTTCCTATGTCTTGCTCTTTTACTATGAATTGGATGCTATCGATCCATTGGCGATTTGACCAATTGTCTGAACTTCTCAATACTCATTGAAATATGTTGTGTAATTTAGAAGATACAGGTGTTTATTAACAGTCGTCTGCGCAAAATACTTCAGATCCGTTGGCTAGACAATATTAGCAACAACCTACTGTGGGAGAGAACAAACCGGATTCTGGCAAAAGAAGAAATCAGGAGGGAGTGTTGGAAGTGGATAGGACACAAATTGAGGAAAGCATCCAACTGCGTCACAAGGCAAACCCTCACATGGAATCCGTAAGGCCAAAGGAAAAGAGGAAGACCAAAGAACACATTGCACCGGGAAATGCAGATAGACATGAGGAAAATGAACAAGAATTGGATGGAACTAGAAAAGAAGGTCCAGGACAGAGCGGGTTAGAGAATGCTGATTGGCGTTCTATGCTCCATTAGGAGTAACAGGCGTAAGTAAGTACAATAGAACTGACATGCATAGAAACACATATTTCAGTGTACTTGTTTAAAGTACAAACATATTCGTTTTATTAGTATGGTTTCATTGTCATATAAACTAGAAAATTCAGAGTCCTTTAAACTTTCAACGATATACTGAGTAGTACGTGTGATTATCTCAACCAAGATATACATTCCCTCTAAATGTCTTTTTTAGTATAAAATTCCATAACCCACATCATGAGTTTACCGGTGATTAATTTCCCAAATACCCTGGTATGGCCGAGAGCGGGGTGGGTTCTTCCTCCCTCTCGAAATACTCTCACACGGCCACGCGTATACAGCCTCTGCCAGGGAAGTCCTACTCACTGCCTTCTCGTGGTGGGGGTGTTGTTTACGAAAATGAGAGGACGAAAAGCGAATGTCCGGCGCTTTAACCAGATTCCAAATCCATGGTGCACATGGGCTCCAATATCCTGGGGGAACAAATGGTGTATGAACCAATTCCGTGTTCACCGGCTACCATGGAACTGCATCTCCTCACGATGCTCCACTGCCTTGTGGGTTAGACCTTTAGGTCAAAGGCTCGGGTTGTGGCCCCCTAAGGAAACCACCTGCTTCGGTTTGGGCAACCGGGCAGTATCTCAGCCCGCACACAAAATCATGATAAACTATCTACTTATGAAAAATATTCCTCTCGCTCCAAATAACAATCAAACGACTCGCATTATTATTATTGTTATTATTATTAGTTACTAAGTCATCATTCACTCTCTTTTATTCCCACTCTGTTTATACTTTTTTTCCGACTTACACAGCAGCTCGTCTATGATGGAAATTCGACTGTACCTAAACGTTCTCCAGTCACTATCCGGTTGAAAATTGTATGTTACCACCGAATATGAGTACTGAAGCAGTTTTTCTCAAACCACGTGCACCATTCAAACTGGCTGCTTTCAATATTCGCATATTTATGCAGGTCGGACAACAGATAGGGCTGGCTATGTCTTTGGAAAGTCTTAATATTGATGTTTTCTGTCTATCCGAGACCCGTATTCAAGACTCTGTGAAGTACTACAAATTCGCTCTCTATCTGTCGCTTCGAGAAGCTTGTTTCACGTGCGCTTATCCGAGGACCCTGTGGCATCTTCGTCTGGTCTTGCTGACGTTGGTAACACAGCGCTAGAGCTGAGGCAGCACTAATCGATTGGATCCCCATTAACAATCGGTTATGTGCTGTTAGATTAGAGAGTTCCATCAAAGTGAAAAGAAATCGGCGTGAGAAACGATGTCTTTTCATCATCTCTGCCTATGCCCCGACAGATTGCAGCCGAGATGCAATCAAGGATGAGTTTTATCACAAGTTATCTGCT